CCACCCCGGGGCTCACCTGCATGGCGGCGGCGGCGGCGGCGGGCGCGGGGCTCACACCTCGGTCTGGAAGTCGCCGTCGGCCGCGTCCAGGCCGGCGCAGGGGCTGTCCCAGTCTGGCCGGCACAGCTCCAGCCGGTCCCGCTGGGCGCTGGGCAGCGAGCCCAGCGTCATCGCCTTGAACGTGCTCCATGGCTTGGGCGGCGCGGCCGGAGCCTTCGGCCGCTGCTCCTCGGGGCTGGTCACGTCCTGCAGGGTGAGGGGCAGCTGTGGCCGGCTCTGTCCCAAAGCCACCTCCTGCCCTCTTCAGGATGGGATGGGATAACCCCCAGGGGGAGTCAGGACTTACGTTGCCCGTGCTCTTGTCCCCGCCGCCGGAGGAGACGCTCCACCGCTTTTCTCGCTGCAGAAAAACCCCAGTGCTCAGCCCCGGCGGCGCCCTTGGGTGCCCTCAGTCTCCCCGGGGTGCCACAGTCCATGCAGGAGGAGGTAAAGGCTGGCAGGGTGCACACCAGGGCAGGACGGGGCCTCCAGGACCTCACCTTGGAGGAGCCGGTGGACGGAGCCCGGTACCGGTCCAGTGTGTGGAATTTCTGGTTGAGCTCGTGGTAGAGCTCGGAGTGGCGTTTCCGTGTGTGCATCACCTTCTGCGGGGGCAGAGCAGAGCCTGTGGCCATCGGCCTGCCCGCTGTCCCTCGGCACTGTCCCCTGTCCCTCGGCACTGTCCCCGTCCCTGTCCCCATCCCTGCCTTCCTGGGGCATCCCAGACCAGGCTCATCATCGGTGTTTTAATCCAGAGCCAACGCTTGCTACTGCCTGGTCTGAACCCCTCAGAGCTCAGGAGCTGCTGGCGGGGCAAAGGGAGTGGGGACAACCTGGATCAGTCCCCCACGATGGCACCGGTGCCACCTCCATGGCAGGACTTACCTCGAAGTCCAGGTCAGAGTACCGCAACCTCTTCCTCTGGCAGGGGGACAGGCAGGAGAGAGGGGAGGAGATGGAGAAGAAAAGGGAAAGGTCTTTGCAGGTCCAGGATGAGGGGGAGCAAGGTTTAGGGGCTCATGCCAGCCCCAATCCATGCCCGGCTGGGGACACGGAGCTCATCCCGCCAAGGTGGGATGGCCAGGGGGGAGCACGGGGGGAATTCATGCCACCCTGCACGTGCACTCGTGTCCCGGGCACACACACCCCTCCCCGCACGCCTGCCCGCGGGCACCGGCCCCCCGCTCACCTCCAGGGACCCCACTTTCATGGCAGAGCCGGGCACGGTGCGGGGCATGGTGCGGCTGCGCTCCGACAGCTCCGAGGCCAGGATCTGCCTCACCGTGGGGTGCTGCTTGAACTGCAGGCCGTAGGGCGTCTTCACCGTCGCGTAGGGCTGGTTGAGGTTCACGTTGACGTGATCCACGGCCACAAAGCCGGGATAGGCGTCCCCTTCGGCCGCCGGGCGCCCCGTCCCGCCGGCCACCGCCTCCTCTGCGCCGGCCCCGAGTGTCCCCTCGTCCCGGGGGAAGGGCTTGAGGCTGCCGGTGCGGCGGGGCAGCATCATGTAATCGCTCTCCCGGGGCGGCTCGGGGGCCCGGATCCAGCCGTATTCCAGGGGCCTCAGGCTGCTCTCGGTGCACAGGTAAACGGGACCCGGCGCCTCCAGGCTGAGCTGCTGCGCCGGCGGCTCGCCCAGCTCGGTCAGACCCGCCACCACGTTGGGCGTCATCTTGGGCACCTGCACCAGGATGCTGGCGGGGGGGATGTTCCCGGGCAGGCTGGAGAAGCCCAGGCTGCCCTCCGAGGTGGTGTTGAGCTTGGGGTCTTCGTCGCCGTCCAGGGAGATGCGGGACAAGGTGCCCGTGATGGTGGCGGGGTTGCAGGTGTTCACCTCTTTGAACAGCACTGTGGGCAGGGAGCGGGGTCAGAGCCGGCCCTGAGGGTCCCACGGGGGGTGGGGGACACAGGAGAGACCCCCCGGCTCGTGCTGCCTGTCCCTCCCGGGTGTGGCACGGTGACAACAGAGGGGAGCTCACCTGTCTGACACGCCAGGTCAACGTCCTTTTCAAAATCTGTCTATAAAAATCCAGAAAGAGGGGAGAGAGCGACAGAGAGAGGAGAGAGAGAGAGGGAGAGAGACGGGGAAATGAAGCACCATGGCCGGCACGGGCAGCGGCGGGGTCTCCAGGGGGGGACCCACTCACCAGGATCTGCACCTGCCCGTTCTTGCAGGAGTCGGGCGAGTTCTCATTCTCCTCGCTCCTGCACCCCCCCACCTGACACTTCACCACGTCCTGGACCTGCGGGGACAGAGCCGGTCACGGCCCCGCGGCCAGGGCTGTCCCCGGCACCCCTCCGGCGCCGCCCCACCTCTCGGCGCAGGAAGCCGTGCACGGTGATGATGACGAAGCCCTGGACGGAGTTGAAGACGGCAAAGAGGACCTGGAAGAGGATGGAGCGCCGGTCGGTCATGGCGAGCACGGCCGACATCCAGGTCAGCGCCAGCAGAGGCAGGACCACGCAGGAGCTCCACAGCGATGCCCTGGCGCAGGGAGAGAGGGGCCGGGGTGAGCCCGCGGGGTGGGGCTGCCCCGGGACAGCCCCCCGAGCATCGCCCCCTCCCCGCAGCAGCCCCCCGAGCCGTGCCCCGCGCCCCGCAAGCATGGCCGGGGCTGGTGGCCCAGCTGTCCCCTCTCCCTCGGTGTCCCCAAGCCAGCGCCGGCTGGGAGCTAAGGGCTGAGGGGACCTGTGGGCTCCAGCCTCCAGGTGTGTCCCTGTCCCCACACAGCCAGAGAGTGCTGGGGGGATGCGGGGCCACCGCCACCCTCCCACGGCCACCAGAACAGCAAGAAGGGATTTTTTATCTTTTTTTTTTTTTTTTTTTTTTTTTTTTTTTTAAGGGGGATTTTTGGGGCTCCTCTTTTT